AAATTGTAAGTTCAGTACTTTCTCTTATAAAAAGAAACAGAAGTTTCCAAAAACGGCGTTGGCAGGCACTGCTGAAGATCAAAAGTGTAACATCCAAATGAAGTATCTTGCTTGGCCCTCTCTTTATCCAACTTCTTACATTTATAAGATAAGTCTGCATCAAGGTGGTGTGTTGTTTAAGAGATCATCAACTGGCTCATTTCTTCTGTATCTTTAGTAACAGCGATTCTCATGCTTAATTCTTCACAGGTATGACAGACGTCTGTTTTAGGGACCTTAAACTTAAGATTAAGTTTATGAAATTCTCTTTCATATATAGTTCTTCCTACTGGGTTTTGACACATCTCTAAGTAAAGTTGGTACATTTTCGTCAAATTGAGATCTGAGTTTAGATACTTGTTATTACTGACCCGCCTCGTGTAATGGCTCTCATATTTAGGAAATGAATTTATATGAGCAATAACTTCTTGTAACCTGGCGTCAGAAATTTTGTTAGTAGGTGTGTGTTTTCCTCTTTTATCTTGCATGTACATTCCTGTTACACTATTCGATTTGTTTCTCAGGGTACTTTGTATAAATTTATCAGTTTCATCCAAAGTTAATTGGAAACATTGTTTACAGGTCCTACACCGCTGTCCATTTATTTGGAAAAAATAGGTAAAAGTTATGTTTCTTTCCTTTGAACTTCCTTTTTTTTTACGTGTTTTAACTTCAGCTGAAGTGATGCAGTTTGCTATAAAATATTGCCTCTTTTCGTAACTTCCTAGTCCCCAATATTCTTTAAAAATGTCACTTCTCAGTTCTTCAGATAACCGTTCTTTGCATTTTAATCTGCAGTTTTTTAAGTCTTTCATTACGCGCTTTCTTTGAATTTTTCCCTGAGCTGTAGCATATTCCTGACCCAAATGTCGTTTTAAAGTTCTCTCTTTCCTTAGTTTTCTGCAGTATTTCTTTAAAACTTGTGGTACCTGTTGACATACGACAGTTTCTTCATTGTGGATGTTATTTACTTCAGAAGAGTTTAGTTCAGACGTCTTTAACTGTTCACTTTCAGCGGTTATATGATCTGATGAACTGCGTGGTAGCAAATTTTGAGTTGTTTTGAGAGTTTCGTCGCTATCCGAGTCATTTTCTGAATTAACGTAAGGCAGATCTTTTTCAGAATCATAACCATCCCAATAATATTCATCATCTAGTTCACTTCTCTCAGTGTTTTCTTCTAGAAATAAAATAATCATGGATTAGTCAGAAGTTTTTTCTATGCAAGCTATATTTTATATAATGTATTGACAAGCTAATTATTTAATTTAAGGGCAAAGGCGCAAAATGTCACCTGTCAAAATGTTCAATGTGTTTTAAAAATATTTTTGAAAAATTTAAACGCAAAATAAAAGATTGCAATATGATCGAGGACAAAAAGTCCCTTAGAATAACCAAAAAGTTTCTTTGGAATGAGATACTTGAAATTAAAGTCACTAAATTCTCTCTTTTTCTCGCCCCTGTAACTTACTAATAAACACTATAGAAGTTTTTAGGGACTTTTGGCCCTTGGTAATATCATAATATTTCATTCGACGTTTAAATTGTTTAAAAATATTTATTAGTTTTCTCAGGATTTGAAAAAAAAATGGATACCTTTAAAACACATTGAAAATTTTGACAGGCGACATTTTCCGACTAAGTATTCCCTTAATAATTGTGATAAATTTAATATTTAAAGGATTACTTATGCTTTAAAATTGTTTATAAATTATTATTACGTATATTTTGCTTTTAATATGTTTAAAATCAATAAAACTAATAATTTTTGAAGATGCACTCTTAATAGATAACCTCAAAACGTGTATTTAATTATAATGTATGTATACTTCATCTAATTTAGATAACGTCTTACGTCATTAACTACGTCAGAGATCGAAGTTGACATAGTTGCCTAAGTATAAAAAAATCCTGACTCCATTTTAAATCAAATAGATTACATAATTATTGCAAAAGTATTACCATCTCTTTACAACGACTATTTAAATTCTTACGTGACATTTTTGAAATAAAACACACTAATTTTGTTCTAAAATGAACAGATTTTATTAAATAGTTAAAAATATAAAACAAGATATATTCACTTTAAAATTCAAAATAATGAAGTACAAAAAGTGTCAACACCGCAACTGTCAAATAAGTGTTACCAATTTATGCCAAAATTTTAACTCGTTCGATTACAGTTACAGTGTGTTCCGAACAAATGTTCTTGATAAAAACGCTTTATAATGCATTTATACAAATAAAATGAAACATATTATTGTGTATTTCTTTAAGTTAACATTAATAGAAATTTTTAAATATTATTTCTACGCGTATATAATAAAATATGTCTAGTGGCTGTAATGCCAGTGTACTCGGTAAAGTGATTCTAACAAAGAACACACCTACACCCTAAATATTTTGTGTTGGTATCATGTGACGTCACAGGCTATCACGCCGATGACATGCATCGTTATATAAATTAGATGAAGTGTACTTAGGTATATTTGTATTATAATTTACTTACCATACACGTTATTTTCTCTACATAAATCCAAAATCTTTGCACTTCGTTTAGACATTATTTTAATAATAAACAAGCCTAGAAATGATATTATACTCAGTCATTTTACTTTTAGCATTTATCAATCAAGTGAATGTTTTAGCACGATCAGTAAGATTTATGTCATATACACTTACACCACCACCTACGCATGGACTATTGATACAGAGGACTTAAGTTTCATAAGTCGTTTATATCGGACAAAACTACAAAATAGCATTCGGTAAAAAGGATTTAAGTTACATATGTTCGTTTGCTCAAACAAAAATAGTCTGATGTAACCTAAGTTTGTTGAACCAGTCTTAATAAAAAACCTTATATTTTAAGATAGACTCAATTCTTTTTTACCAAAACAAACTTCTTCACAATTTACAACCAAATGTGTAGATAACTCATTTTGGTCAAAAATGGACTTAAGTCCTTTTGCCCTAACACTAGATATATATTGACTTCTTCTGTCAAACTCACCTAAAATAAATATAAAAAATAGAAGAGACATGGAAACCTTAGTAAAAAGTTTTGACAGAACGAAAAAGTAAATCAAATTTAATAATGTCATTATGTTAATTAATTTTGCTAATTTTAAAACACAATCCTCACAAGGGTAAGCCTATTGAAGATGTAACAACTTCATTTTTCTAATGTAATTTTTTATGTTAATTTTTAGTACGTTTTGAAAAAGAGTACAATAAACTCGCAAGCTTAACAAACCTAAAAGAGTTTTACTTAAAGGCCAATATTGACTACTAAACCCAAATATATATATATATATATATATATATATATATATATATATATATATATATATATATATATATATATATATGGGGAATTCCAAACTTTGACAGCTGGTAGCAGCCAACTACATTTTTGTGGATACATGTGTTAATTTAAATTCCTAATATGTTTTGTTGTTATTGTTTCCCTGATACATTTTCTATAAAATATGTCATAGTATTATTAGAACATATGTTCGCAAAGAACGCAAATCTGAGTGAAAGGGAATTAATGTCAATGGAGAAATGCTTAGTCATTTGAGGTGTGCTGACGATATTGTATTTTTTGCTGACAGAATCGATGATGCAGTATCGCAACTGGAGAAACTATACCTAGCCTCCCTACAAGTTGGATTAAAAATCAACCACACAAAAACACAAATCATGACAAATCTTGTGTTAAGCGAAAAGATTTCAGTAAATGGCATGCATATTGAAGAAACCACCTCTTATAAGTACTTAGGACATGAGATACGCATAGGAAGAGATAATCAAACGTGCGAACTAAGCCGCCGCATAGGACTCACTTGGATGGCATTCGGCAAGCTGAGCTATGTTCTTAAATCAGAACTGCCTATGTGCCTTAAAAGAAAAGTCTTTAATCAGTGCGTGTTGCCAGTACTTACATATGGTGCAGAGACATTAACACTAACCAAGAAAGTAAGAAATAAAATTTGTGTTACCCAAAGAGCCATGGAACGATCGATGTTAGGCATTTCTCGTAGGGATCGGATCACGAACAAGGAAATAAGACGGAGAACAGGAGTGACAGATGCCATAGAAAGAATTATGACCCTTAAGTGGAACTGAGTGGGGCACATAGCTAGAATGTCGGATAACAGATGGACACAGCGAATAATACAGTGGAGACCGAGACAAGAAGCACATCGAAGTAGAGGTCGTCCACCAACAAGATGGTCTGATGACATAAAACGGATCGACAAAAATTGGATGCAAACAGCACAAAACAGAAATACATGGAGAAGACTGAGGGAGACCTATATCCAGCAGTGGATAGATCCGGGTTAAATGATGATGTCATAGTATGCTTATGTTGTCAACTGTTGGCCCTGAATACTGTTCGTTAATCATTTACCTCTATTCTTAGCATACTTTCCGCACATGTTTTTTTCTCCTATTTTATGTACTACTATCAGTAAGTGTTTTCCCGTTATTTTATTTCCAGCAATTATTTGAAGCACACTATGCGGTGTAAGCAATTTGTGTGATTCCAAGAATAAACTTTTACATTAAATCAGAAAAGAAATAAAATGTATACTCTGTTAACTAAAGATTTGTCGTTGTTATCCCTTAACTACTTAACAGTTTAATGAAAAAACCTGCGCATGCAGAAATAAAATGTATACTCTGTTAACTAAAGATTTGTCGTTGTTATCCCTTAACTACTTAACAGTTTAATGAAAAAACCTGCGCATGCTCCCATATAATGGTTTCCTTCCACTATCAATAAACTGATATTGAAGGCTCATCTAGCCTACCTGCTACAAATGTAATAGAGCAGTCTGTCGAGCATAGAAACAACAATTATCAATTAATTTATTGTTATGTAATCAATTCATTTTATATTTCTTTGCAATAATAATAATAGTAGAGGGTTTATTATTATATTAAGAACAAACCTTTTCTCTGATGGTAACTAATGAAGTTGATAAATTTTCAGGATAGCTATTAACTTCTGACTTGTATGGCATACTTTCAATAAATCCCAAAAACTTTGCTAGTACTCTCAATTGTCGGATATTCATATCATATGATTTCCTGGTGGAAGCATCAACATCATCATCTATAACAGTAAAATATAAAAATAACAGTAAATATATAAAAAAACTCGAACATCGAAGTAAACTTCTGTTGTAATTGGTATATTAGTCCAGTCGTCAGAGATTTGACTTCTAAAAATCATACGATCAAGCTGAATTTTGCCGAGAACATCAATTTTGGGAACCCAAAAAAGATGCAAAAAAGTTTACCACTTTAACCCCCGGGCTTTCCTCTAAAACCCCCCTCATAGTATGGTAAAAATGCAAAAAAATCGATTTAACAAAAATATGTACTCTGTAGAAATAAATGGTTCAAATAAAAAATGTAACTGAGATAAGTTTGGACAAAAATGTTTATTAGCACTTTTTGTGTATCAATGTATCAAATAAAATTTGTATCAACTCAACGGTAAAAAATCGATATCTTTGGATCAGAGTGTCCTATCAACAAAAATCAAAATGCGTTTTAAAAGTGAAGTAGAAGTGAAGGTGCAGCTTTCGTATGCTTTTTTTTTGTATTTTGCCGCAAATATAATAAAGTCACTTTCTTTAAAGCTGTTTAATAAATAAACTTTGCGCGATATTTGCAATTTTATACGATTCTCGTAGGATCAATAAAATTTATTACTTTCATTGATCGGTCGTAGTGAAATTTTCATTGTTGGGAGACCAGTCTTCAAAACCTATAACATGAAAATTCGATTTTGATTTTTCGCAACAAATATGAGGCATTTGAAATATGGTTAAAAACGCAGAATTTAAACTTTTACATTACAAATAATCACACGCACGGAAAATGTCTCCAAGAAGGCGGTTTTAAGTGCAATTTATAGCAGAAGCTAATTACTTTTGAAAAACTTGCTAGTGTAATTTAACACCTTTATAAAACTGAGTTCATTTGCGGCAAAATACAAAAATTGCATAAGAAAGCTGCACTCTTTACATTTAAAACGAATCTTGATTTTTGTCAATAGGATACTCAGATTAAAAGATATTGAATTTTGGCCGTCGAGCTGATACAAAGTTTATTAAGCATTAATTTCTCGCGCGTAACTGACATTCAAAATCGCCGATCGCTTCAATCGTTATTTATGAAAGAACAGTTCATTCTACACAAAAATGCTAATAAACGTTTTTGTTTAAAATTATCTTAGCTTCATTTTTTATTTGAAACATTTTTTTTCTATGGTGGACAAAATCTTGGTAAATCGGTTTTTTTACGTTTTACTCCCTCTATGTCGGTAATTTAGGGGAAAACCTCGTGGTAAAACTGGTAAACTTTCTTGTATCTTTTTTGGCGTCCTAAAATTGACATTTTGGGCCAAATTCAGCTTAGTATGATTTTTAGAGGTCCAGTGGCATTTTCGTCTCTAACGACACGAGTATATTTAATTAAAAAAAAAAAATTAAATTAAAAACCAAATAGATTAAAAAGTTCAATCAGTCCATCTTCAGTGAACCCAAAATGCAAGTAATCCCACTCAGTTAAGAATAACGTAAGGTAAAATTGTGACTATTAAATGCAAAAATATTTTTTAGATTACTTACTTTGGACATTGATTATAAACCACTACCTAGATAACTCACTCTAAGGTAAAAACGAATTCAGTGTTAAACTCCGCCCACTTACACCTCTTTCTCCCCTCACGCCTAAGTACTACCTGACTGTATGGTGGCGACATTCATTGAAATCTTTGCCAATATTGAAAAATAAATTTCAGTTCCCTGGTCCGGCAATTATCTAGTGCATTAGAGGACAATATAAGGATGGCCTTCAGCATTTGCACAAGTAATTTTAACGTGCTTGTAATCTATATTCTGAAATTAAGATTTTACTTCAGAAAAAACGCTAAAAATTGATTAATGAAAACAGTAAAGATTTTCTAAATATTATTTATTTATCAACACAATACAAAAAAATAAAATATACCCGGTTCGCTATTCCCAGTCCGAACTGTCTAGTGATTTTAGTAATTATTTTTTTGCGAAGTTAGTTACTTTTGACAGACTCGAAGTGGCTGGAAATTACTATACAACCAAGCATACGTGCTCTTAGTCAATATTAATGTAAACAAAAGTAAATACAAAAATAAAATAGAATATATAAAATAGAACTTTGCCGACAATCAATATTTATTTATTTACACCGTATAATGTATTGATAACAAATAATAAAAGTATTTATTGTACAAAATAAAAAAAGTGGGAAAAAATTCTACAAAATTAAAAAGTCAAAGTGAGGTTAAATAAGACACAGCAAGTTCCTTATGTTATGTTGTGACTAGGATGGAATCAATGATTAAAGATTAACAGTTCATTGGATAGCATTAACATAAACTGTTGTTTTATTATCTTACAAAATAAGTGTACTTCCATATGCTAAAAGCAAATATTAGTAATTTGACTAGGCAAATTCGTGGTTCAATAGTAATTTTTGCTCATTAGTATTTGAGGATGTTAAAATCTTCCACATATGGTGAATTAATTCAGTGTCCTGGCCGCAGTCTGCAGTCATATAAACCCAAACAAACAACAAAAACCTCCATGTAAGTATAAACAAGTTTATATTAAATTAGAAACAACTAATCTACCCGCGGGTAGCGGGTAGGAACTCTTTAAACTCTTGAAGATAGTCCTATCAGGAAAATGAATCAATCCCTGCCCTCCGCAGATTCCGGGGGTTTCCTGACCCGGGAAACTAGTACCTGTTTAGGGTCCCTTGTCCAGGGTTACGGATGAAGTCCACAACGACAAACACGGCGGAGAAGCGGAGCTTCGGTACGGTGTGGATGGCGGAAGTGGCAACCCTCGATTTTAGGGTTGATATAGAACTCCTTTTATTGGCCAACGGTTGCGGGCGAACGAGCTAGTAAGAGACAAGGGCACTCTTTTGCCCTAAGACTGAGAAATCGATCTTGAAGGCGGACGAGCCGAGAAAACGGCCAACGGCGTAAGAATGCAGAAGGCAACGGGAAACCACTGCATTAAAGACTCTTGGAGTATCCCTAGAAATCGTCATGGCTAATAAAAATGACAATCAACAACCTACTAATCATGGTTCTCGGATGCCAAGATTCGGCAGGGGAAGAAACAGCAGTAACGACAGGGCTTCCCAGGCCGTTAGTCAGCGAAATCCCTGTTCACTAAATATATACAAATCCACTTACAAAATAGCTACATGGAATGTAAGAAGTATGTATGAACCTGGGAAACTAAGAAATATACAGCAAGAGATGATGCGACTAGAGATCGATATATTAGGAATAAGCGATACAAGATGGGTCGGCTCTGGCGAAATTAATACAGACAATGGACGAATTTATTACTCTGGAAGCAGCGACACCCAACACAGGTATGGAGTTGCTATGATCCTCACTGAAAAACTAACGAGATCAGTAACAGGCTTCGTTCCGATATCTGAAAGAATTATAATGGTGCAATTATTGACAACCCATGGAAAAATGAATTTAATTCAGATTTATGCACCAACTGCTGACAAAAATGAAGAAGAAATAGAAAACTTTTATAGCGAACTTCAAAAAACATTACATCTCACAGCATCTAGAGACGTAACAGTGATCATGGGTGATTTCAACGCAAAAATTGGCGAGGGAAAATGCTACCCTAATGTAGGACCATATGGGCTTGGTGAACGAAACGACAGAGGGGATCGCCTAATAGAATTTTGCCAGGAGCACAATGTTATAGCCGCAAATACATTCTTTAAATTACCTAAGCGACGCCTTTATACATGGAAATCGCCAGCTGACAAAGACAACAAAATCGTCAGAAATCAAATTGATTACTTCCTAATAAAACACAGATATCGAAACTCAATTCAGGCAGTAAAGGCATATCCAGGAGCGGACGTATCTTCTGATCATAGTCTTCTTATTGCTAGATTTCAACTTCAACTAAAAAAGACACAAAAAAGCCGCAATAACAATAAACTTAACATAGAGAAACTGAAGTCAGAAGAAACAAAAGAAAATCTGAAACACGAAATCAACACAAATCTAGACAGAAACCCAGGAAATAACTGCAACGTAGAGCAGCAGTGGCAATTCTTCAAAACCTCTATAGTGGAGCCAAGTAAGAAACTACTTACAACAACTAAATATAAGAAAGAAGAATGGATGACAGAGGAAATTCTAGAGTTGATGAATGAAAGGAGAAAAAACAAAACCATCAATAAGACGCGCTATAAACAGCTTCAAAACCAAATAAGAAGAAAAATTAGGGAGGCTAAAGAGACCTACTTCTCTGAAAAATGTAAAGAAATAGAAGAACTTCAAAACAGATATGACAACTTCAACCTACATAAAAAAGTCAAAGAACTAGCCGGAGTAGGAAATAGAAGAACCTCAAATATATTGCTCGACAAAAATGGAAATATTATATTGGAAACAGAACAAAAACTACGACGATGGAAAGAGTACATCGAAGAATTATTTCATGACCAGAGAGAAGCTAGTACATCTGTAGATAGCCAAACGGGAGATGTAGGTCCAGAGATAACCAAATCAGAGGTTAGTCAGGCATTAAACTCAATGAAAACCAATAAATCTGCTGGTCCAGATGAATTACCAAGCGAGCTACTAAAGTTGGTTAACGAGAAAAACCTGGACATAATAGTAGAACTGTTCAACGCTATCTATACTACGGGAATCATTCCTAGAGAAATGTTGACATCAGCATTTGTATGTTTGCCAAAGAAAGTGAATGCCAAAGAGTGTAGTGACTATCGAACCATAAGCTTAATGTCACATACCTTGAAAATTCTCTTGAAAATTATCCACGCCAGAATACACTCTAAACTGGAGCTGGATATTAGTGACACTCAATATGGGTTCCGCAATGGTATGGGTACCAGAGAGGCATTATTCTCCTTTAATGTGCTGACACAGAGATGTTTGGATGTTAACCGCCCTCTTTACGTCTGTTTTATAGACTACAATAAAGCGTTTGATAAAGTAAAACATGATCGACTCCTGGAAATTCTAAAAAATAAAAACCTAGATGA